GGAAAGAGTACTATGAGATAACATGGGCAAGCTTGAGGTGTATGGTTGAACCTGAATTTGCAAAAAGATCTGTCATTTCTCACTCTGAATACCTTCCTCATGCGAAAATCATTCCATCAGCTGCAGTTGACATCACAGACACTGATGTATTGACCAAACAAGGCAGCCGAATTGCATATGACTATCTTGTTGTTGCCACTGGTCATACACAAAGTGGTGCTGAGGCGAGAACGGAGAAGATCAGTCAATACCAAGCAGGTATTGGTCCAATCTCGTGGTTACTTTTGTGTTCTGCTTTCATAGAACTCAAAGCTTGTGTGTAACTAGTTTTACTTTTATCTTAAGACACAAACCTTAAGAAATTCGACGGTTTTCTGATAGGTAATTGAGTACTCAAATGGTTATATATTGCCATCACCTTACAAACAGCTTGTCTTACTTTACAATCTCATAGTTTTTGAACATGCACAATTACCTTGTTTTAGATCAACACTTCACCTTTATCATAGTCGTGCATTCTGTTTCATAATTTCCGTCACTTCAAAAACCATATAATAATAGAAAACTTTAAGAAAGGGGATAGGGTGTATGGAAAAGGAAGGAACAAAAAGAAAAGAGAATCAGATTTATCTTCTTGTTTTCTGTTTAGGAACCTAGAGAGGCTAAAAGAAATTCTTAGCTTTAGTTATGTCAGCAGTACATATTACTGGATGTTATTCGTAGAAAACCATAGATTGATGTAAGCTCTTTACATTTGGTATACCAAGTGTATATTGGGACTTAGATCACAACATCATTAAAAATATGACAGCACAATAGCAAATGAAGCAACAAATGAAAGAGTAGTAATACAAATCAAACTTCCATGAAATTGTTCATTAAACCAATCAGGGCATTAACTTGTGCTCAACTCTTGTTCCTTGATTTACAGAGTATGAAAAGATAAAGGCTGCTGACTCCATATTAATAGTCGGAGGAGGGCCAACAGGTGTGGAGTTGGCTGCTGAAATTGTTGCAGATTTTCCTGCTAAGAAGGTGACATTGGTGCACAGAGGATCAAGATTATTGGAATTTATTGGAGAAAGCGCCAGCAAAAAGGCACTGAATTGGCTTACTTCAAAGAAAGTTGAAGTCATATTGGAGCAATCTGTCGTTGTTAACTCTCAATCAGATGGTGTTTATAGAACATCTGGTGGAGAAACTATAGTTGCTGATTGCTATTTTCTTTGCACCGGTACACTATTTGGTTCAGCATGGTTAAAAGAAACTATCTTGAAGGATAGTTTGGACAGTCGTGGAAGGGTAATGGTTGATTCAAATTTGAGGATCAAGGGTCGCAACAATATCTTTGCTATTGGGGACATCACTGATGTTCCGGTAAGTCAACCATACCTTTTTTAGTTTCTTACAGCTTGTTGTCATCCCTATAAACCTTAAATGTACATTCAAGAAAGCGTTTTTCAAGAACCTGCCTATGCATCTTCTCTTCCTAGCTCCTCCTCGTATAGAAAAGTCCATGCAAGTAACTAGACCTTGTTAATATGTGTACACTATGTAATTGGATTTCTATTACTCTACCAATAAAAGCTCCAATGAATCGTAGTAGTTCTCGCATCATAACAACCATTTTACGTGCAAGACATCCTTACTTTGTGATGGTGAAATGCAGGAACTTAAACAGGGATATTTGGCTCAAGAACACGCAAAGGTAGTAGCCAAGAACATCACGACGTTAATAAAGGGAGTAGAAGATGATCACAAATTGGCTGTATATAAACCAGCAACCAAGGCATTGGCTATAGTTTCTCTAGGGAGAAAAGATGCAGTGGCTCAATTTCCTTGTTTGTCAATCGCTGGACGCGTTCCAGGCATGATAAAATCTGGGGATCTATTTGTTGGAAAGACGCGCAAAGGACTTGGTCTACAGCCCGGTGTTTAGTTGTCCTGCTTATAAGGAAATATGCATGCTATAGAAGTTGCGTTTATTTATTTATATTCAAACTTTTTCGTTTGATTATTACATGTTATAGGTTAAACGTACACAGTACCATCACCATACTCCGTTTGTGGTATTGCACTGTGTATGTTGCTGCTGGTGGTTATTTTATAAGTGGTGTGTGGTTCTGCAGTCCTCAGTTCTTTTATTCCATATCTTGCTGAGAACTTAAAAAATTGGCATGCTCCAAAAAAAGGGAACTTTTGTTTTGGATAGTTTGTTTATTGTTATGGATTATGTAAAAAAAATATATTATTGATTATGTACAAAAAGACACTGCTATTTTAGGAATATGACTTTCCAATTGAATTTAGTGGATTTTGAAGTAAGTATGAATATGAACAACCAGCCCTGAAATACATTAAAAAATAGGAAAAACTACATAAAATAGCAAACTACATTTCATATTAAAATAATATAGCTATAGTTAACTTTATTTATATTTTATGGTTATATTTAATTAATAAATAGCAAATACAATTTTCCACGCCTAAAATTATTTTATACAATTTCACACGTTTTTCCCTCTTTTCACGCTTCCCTCTTTCCTACTCCCATTTTTTCTTGATAACTCTGCCATTTTTTTCCAGCTTTCATCCCTTATCCCAAATCAAATCTTTATCCTCAAATCACAAACATTACTCCTAAATCAACTTCACCTCTTCAAATTATCCACAAAATCAGTCTCTTCGCTCGGATACTCCCATTTTTTCAGCTTTCATTCCTTATCCCAAATCAAATCTTTATCCTCAAATCACAAACATTACTCATAAATCAACTTCACCTCTTCAAAGTATCCACAAAATCAGTATCTTCGCTCGGATCCTTGCAATCAACGACATTGCTTTATTTTCGGAGTTTTATTTGTTGTTTAGATCCTACAGGTTTCTTCAAATTCTTATTTTTTTCTTTGAAAGTCTTTTATAGGTATACGTTTATGTTTATTTCTAGTGTTGAAGTTGAAGATTGTTTTCAACATTGCAATGTCGGAAACAAATACTCCAAGGAGGATCACAAGAGGTACATATTATCCCGATAGTTGCATGGTGGGGATACCCTCATTTGATTTGTGTATAACGCAAATGAAATCACAAATTTCAGGCTCCATTGCTGCGATGGAGATAAAGAAGAAATCGAAATTTCTTAATAGCCCTAGAACATTGGATTTGAATGATGAATTAGTAAGGTCGGGTTCTTCTAAAAGGAAAGAAGGGTCAACAATGAAAGTGGGTGAAAGAAAAATTGTCAAGAGGAAAGTCAAAGATGTTGTTTCGGGCATGATTGGAAAACATGTAGTTAATGAAGAACAAGAAGAAAGGAGTGAAGAAGAACTAGAGGTATGCATATTTTTTAATTTTTTTTTGGGATGTAGAATAAGTGTATACATATATACCTACAGTGTACTGTAATTTGAACAAAAAAGGTTAGGCGGAGGATATACAACTGGAAATTTTAGATTAGGTGCCTTTGTAGTATTTTGTCTTGGTTTCTTCACTCATATTAATTTTTTGAGCTTAGTGGTAATGTTTATGTACATACTAACCTCCTCAAACCCCACTTGTAGTACTTTAGTGGGGATGTTGTTATTATAGCTCTGTATGAATATGAATGCTGAAGTGCTTCTTTGAACTGAACATGTAATCTTCTTTTGATATGAGCATTAGAAGTTGCAAGTAATCTGGATGTAGGATTGTAGTTAGTGTTTAACTTGTAATGTATTCAACTTGCATGCAATGTTTATTGGTGTAACCATTTTGCATTATGTTCTAGCACATAAGATTTTTTCTGGTGCATAGTTTTACATAGTAGTTACATTTTAATAGAGCTTGGATTATTTTTTATTGTGTCATTTATATGTGGTTTAGGAGATCCTTATTTTGTTAAGTTGATGTATGTAGTTGCCTTACTATGTTTATTATTTTAGGTTGCATTAATGCAGTTACTCGCGAAATATTAATGTACTTGTACATGTGATTGCTGTCTAGCATGCTATTCAATGGCTTTTCGTGTATGTTGTAACTTGTAAGCAATATCATTCTAAATGTACAATTAGTCGAACAAGAAAGGTTATGTGGAGGATATCCCTTCCAATGTATTATACTATGGCATACGTTTAGTGTGGCATACTCTCACACATTGAATACCTTCTAGTGTATTTGGGGTTATGTTGTCATTCTGTTTTTTGAAAATGACAGTAGTTAAATGGTAGTTTACTGAATATGTGGATACTTTTCAGATTGTTATTTGCATCAAATTTGTTTTGTGTCGGTGCATCTTCTATTTGAATGTGTTGTCTTGTATGTATGCATAAAATCAGGTTACTATGAAGTTGTTAATGTAAAAAAAAGTGCAGTTTCATATTTTAGTATTTCCTAATTACAGGGTATCAGATTTCATGTGTTGGCTCGCCTGATCGAACCCCCGCGCATGCAGGTTTATGTGAACCATAACATAGTTACAGATTTGAAGGGGAAGCTTACACTGACCCAATTCAATCGATTTAAAGATACATGTTTTGGAGCATATACCAAAATGCACGTGTGTGGGGCGCAACCACAAATCTTTAGGTGTTTGATGGTATGTGAATTGGAGGACAGTTCGCCGGATGAACTGTTCTTTCGTATAAATCATACCACACTCCGTTTTGGTATTCAAGAATTTGCCATCATTACTGGGTTGAACTGCTTTGCTGATAAAGACGATTTCTTGTTTGACACTAGCGAGCCAAACAGATTAATCAATCAGTACTTTGAGGGTAAAAGTATTATCAGAAAGGCAGAGTTGATCAGTAAGTATAAAAACAAGGTATGGGGTGATGAGAATGATGACGATGTTGTTTAAATTCACAATTCTGTATTTTATCAGTACGTTCATCTATTCCGGTGAGAAGAAGAGCTCATCAATTCCAAGGATACAATTTGATCTAGTTGAGAGCGGTCGGTACCATGAATACCCCTGGGGAAAAGATGCTTTCTCCAAATTGGTCAAAAGCATAACAAAAAAAATGGATGCCAAGAAAAAGTATTACAGAATTGATGGTATGCCTCTTGCCATGCAAGTTTGGATATATGAATGTTGTTCTGCTGTTGATCTGAATATTGCTGAAAAGAAGACCAATTGTATTCCCAGACTGGTCAATTGGAGGACCAGAAACAACAGAATACATTATGAATTCCTTATGGAAGGAATGTTCGGTGATAACGGCAATCCGATAATTTAACATATTTTCATTAATCAATTAGTACAAATATCGTTGTCTTTCAATATACTTGTTAATTATAACTGTTTTGTGCGCAGTTAAAATACAAAAACATTCAACCTTCACTAAAGGAGATTGCATTTTATCAGCTTCCATCAAAGAGTGATGCAATCCCCGAGAATACCTTTCAAAATGTTGGCGACAAAGATGATGAGGAAGATAATGATTTCACTTCAAAGCCTCCAAGTCATAAGCCACACAATAAAGAAAAAGGTAAACAGAAGGTAACTGTTTCATTGTCCACATCGATCAAAAAGTTCAATATGCATGCAGGTTCGAGTTGTAAGGAGAAAAGTCCACCAGTATTGCATGGTTACCGTAAGGCAAAGAGTACACCCTTTAGTTCTGTTTCAACCCCCTTGGAGAATAATGTACCAATACAGGAGTTGCATAATCAGCCCGATGAATCTACCAACACTACACCACCAAGGAGTTCGAAACAACCTCAAGATACCAAGGCAGGCGGAATTGGTGTGCTGCGACAAGATCTTGCCTCTTTCAAGGATTCTGTAAGGAAGTTGTTACATTTTTTTTAGTTTACATTGTATTCCAATATATTCTTACACTTTATTTAATAATCAGGTTACTAATGAGTTCAAGGAGTTGCGCTTGTTTATACTGGAAAATTTTAAACAAGTCATGGATGCAGTCAACAAAAGCAGTCCTCAATCTGGAGCACCATGTCAGGTTAAGCACAACAATGTTAAATTACGAGAACACATTCACATATACAGGTTAACCAATGTTACAAAACTCAATTATTTTTGTATAACATAAACATGAAAATGGAAGTAAATCTCCAATGCATGTACCTGATTGGTCGAACAACAATTCAATGAAAGACGGCAACCAGATCTCAACATTCTTGGATAAACCTCACTTTGATATAAATGAGGTACTACGTGAATTAACTTGTGTTTCTAATTTAGAAGTGAATGGTGAAAAATGTTCAAGAATAGATATATCATCAAAAAATTTAAAGGTTCAAACATAATATTTATTATTGTACTATTCTGTTACATTTTTCAAACAAAAAATATTTATTATTGTAATATTGTTAGGATCGGACATTTCAATTCGTTATTGAAGAACACGCCAAAGATAATGTCCAGGAGAATTATCAACTTGCCCAGATACACATACAAAACCCTTTGTCGGTACATGAACAGTCAAACAACCTGTTGGAATGCCATCATTTGAGGTACTGTTTAAATTTTATTGTATTTATAAGGGTGTTTAAAAATGTATTCAATTATGTATTCAAAAATAAGTAAATTACCTTATATAAATTGAATACGTATGGTTTATTCAATGAACATAGTTGTATTTACTTATTTCTAATTTTTGTAGAAATATTTATATACTAGGATATTTACTGATAATAGAATACATTCCAATACCAACAATACATATGATACTTTGTAAGTATACCTACTGGTAATATAATACATTATAATACTATAAATACGTATGTAACTTTGGTAGAATTCTGATTGTCGGATACATATTAGATACTGTAAGTATTAATTAGTGTAATATTAATTGTTTTACTCATATGAATTATTTATGCGCGACATTCTGAATAATATATGTTATTTTTGCCATTTCATTTCAGACAGGAGACATTAATGCCTTACAGAACGATGGAATCCAACAACCACAGTCACAATTTGAGTTGCTTGATGTTTTGTTACCTAGCCTTGACACAATCAATCCCAAAAAGTGTGTTGTGGTTCATCCAGAGGGTGTTATTTATGATACTACACCCGTGCCAGTTCAAAGGACAAGACGTCCCGATCGATGGAATTCTGCTCCATACTCGACAAATTTTGGATCATCATCTGGTAATTAATAATGTTTCTCCTCCTGTATGTCTTACCTCTCTCCCCCCCCCCCCCCCTTCTATTTTTTTTAACATACATGATTTTCATGCAAAATTGATGAGGAAATAAGTTGAGAATATGTTTGTTATAATTTGTGGGTTTGTATACATAAAATTTCAGGCAGCTCTTCCAATGTGGTAAAAATTTATGAAAAGAAATATCCTTTTGTTTCTGACTTCATACGAGGGCCATATAATTATGATCTTTTTTACGATTATGCAATGTGGCTTCGTGAAGGGCTCCTTGTTAGGCATATGAATAAGTAAGTATTTTTATTTCATATGATTATCATCCGTACACATAATATACTTAAATTTTAATTCTATTTGTTATCTAAAGGATGCATGATGAAGATCGGTATAAGAATAAAAAAGCAGAATTGGCGGTTAATATGGATTTGGGTATTCATCTGATATCAAACAAGAATTGGTTCTACTCTCTGTCTTATGATAAACAACTTCTGAATGATGAGGTAAAAACATGAATATATACGTAAAAGGAGCCCTTTCTGTTTATAAGATGTGGCACACACATTTATTGATTTTTTTTGACAACATATTGATGTGGTTCTATATTATTTGCGTAAAAAGAGTAAGTACAACATCAGTAGTCGCTACAGATACACTATTGTTGATTGTCTGTTCAAGTCAAAAATTGATGAAATTTATGCCACATATGCTCAAGTTGGAAGCGAAATATGTGTTGCAAATGTTGAAAGTGACATACGTGATTACATAAATGGGTATAGGTTGATGGCTGCCATTCCATGGAATAAAATCGATAATGTGTTCATACCAGTGAATGTGGAGCAGAAAAATCACTGGGTGTTGGCTGTTTTGTCAATAGTTGAACGACGCATTTATGTATATGACTCATACAGAGCAGCAGGTCATAACTCTTATGTTAGGGATGAAATTCAAAAGCTTGCTCAGCTTCTGCCAATGTATGTGTCAATGGAGATTGCCAATAATTCAGATGATACACAAGATCAGGACATTGCATACGATATGACGTATGTGGATGATATACCTCAACAGGGATCAGGTGACTTGTAAGTATAAAAAAAATAGTCTCTTAATTTACTTTTTAAATAAACAATATCCTATTTAATAAGTAATGTATCTTCAGGATTGTGGGATATATTTGCTAGCATTTGTCGAGTACCTAAGTGAGGGTGAAGGCATTCCAGTTCAATACCTTGATTCTAAGTTACACCGCATCAGATACGGTGCACTATTGTGGCAATATGCAGTGAAGAAGATGGAAGAAGGGGATGTTAGCGAGAATGAGGCACCACCCAGAATGATGAGGCCACCCGCAAGAATCGATAATAGTCAACTTGTTAGGATTGATTAGTATCTTGTACTAGTTATCTTTTTGAATTCTATTTTATGCTTATGGTTAAAACTAATATTTTAGTTTTTTGTCAAACATTATCAACTCTTCTATTTATATATGATCATGTTGATTGACTGTTTTTGTTTGGGTTATTGCATTCAATGTAATGGTAGGAAGAGATCGATGTATGTTTGTATAAATGTTCAGTCTGTCTGAACACATACATTTGGATATCTACCTTTGTTCGGTTTGTGTTTTTTAATCAACATATTCAATAGTATAAATGTATACTAGAGTCTTTTTCTTATCAACATATACACAAGTATTACTATATTCATTTATTTTCAATTCTTACTTAAGGACATTTGGATACTTGCATTCTTAAAAGTGATAAACGTTCAGTAAATGTTTTATATGTGTATTCACCAACATATTCTCAAGTATTATTACCAGTAGTTTGTGTGTATCAATAAATGTTAATAGTATCAACTTGATAGTTGGATATTTATCGATTGAGAAGTTTGTATCATGATTAATATTGAGATAATATTCAAGTTAATTTATAATTTAAGCAAGCAAATAAAGAAACAAATATTTCAAACGGCAAATAAGTCATTTATTTGACAAAACAAAAATTAAGTAAAAGAACACTTCAATTGTGGGATGTATCAGTTCCTATGCATCCCGTGTTGCAGTTCGACATGAACGCCTATTATGATCACGCTGTCCACATGTACTACAAGAATTGGTACCCTTCCGTTTGCTAAACTCGCTAAATGACTTCTCCCGTTGCTTCTTTGGCCTTCCTGGAGATTGTTTGTATTTTGGTGGCAACACAACTTCGGTATCAATGTGTTCAGGTATATTCCATTCACTTTTGTCAGGGAGAGGATACACAGGCACTTCATATGTTTTCAATATTGTTTCTGGCGTGTAAAAGTCTGAACAATATTCATCTGGAAGCATGTGTTTTTTGTTCAACACCCTCCACGCATGTGCGCACGGTATTCCGTCAACTTGAAACCTGTTGCAACTGCAAGTCTTCTTTTCAAAGCATGCAATATAACTCTTCCCTTCACCACTTACTGAATAAATGTAATCAGTTGACGGGACAACCTAGAATCAATACGTAATTTCATTTATACAATCCATATGAAAGCAAATACACTTTAAAAACTTAAATAAATGAATACATAATCAACTGAATATGACAAATATTATTTTTCTCATAAATTATTAACCTTTCTTCAACATACATACCGTCATACGACCAGATTTTGATTCATTAAGCACAAGCATTTCCTGAAACTTCTGCCCAAGTAGTGTGAAAGTGCATGATGCATTTTTCGATTTGTGCAATTCCATCTAGCAAACATCAAGTGCACTTGTTCAAGAAAGTCAAATATTGGTAATTCTCTTGCTGCTACCAACGTCGAATTGATGCACTCTGCAATATTTGACGTTATCACCCAACCACGAGGAACTGGTGCATACAACTTTGCCCACTTCTCATATCCAACCAACTCCAAGTAGTTCTTCACCCTTACATCAAACTGCTCAACTCTTTTCATTAGCTTATCAAAATCAGTTTTTGTATACACTTTTGCCATAGTGTAGAATACTTCACTCAATTGCTCATTTGATTTTCGAAAATTCTTGCATACATTAGCCCACAAGTGCCATATGCAGGCGTAATGCTGGATATTGTTGTATACAGTAGATACAGCCTTTATTATGCTATTATGTCGGTCAGATACCACACACATATTCTCTCTTTCACCATAAGCTTCTTTGAATTGTTCAAAGAACCATGTCCAAGCAACATCATTTTCTGAATCAATAATTTCGTATGTCAAAGGTAATATATTCCCTATTACAATGTATAAAAAGGGTGAATAACAAATAAATAAAATTATAATGTATTTATGTATTTAAAATACCTGCTCCATCCAAAGTGATGGTTGATACGAATGCTCCAGTATATGCTGATTTGAGGTGGCTGGCGTCTACAACAACAATCGACCTACAATGATCAAATCCCTTTATAAAAGCATGCAACGCTATAAACACATACAAAAATTCGTTCTCAAGTGTTTTCTTCATTCGAATATGTGAACCAGGGTATGTCTTATCCAAGGTATACAAGTATCCAGGTAGCTTTCCATAAGACGCAACTGGTTGCCCCATTATCGATTCTAATGCCTTCTCTTTTGCTCGCCATGCCAACATGTAGTTAATAGCAATACCCAAGTCCAATCTAACGTCATCCCTGATATCATTTGGAGTGTATTTCCTCTTCTGATTTCTCAATTTAGGTGCGATTATTCCTCCAATCAATCCACTTGTTGCACGACAATCTGAATGCACCCCATCCTTTAAAGGACATGTATGTTCAGAGTTAAAAACTCTAATTCTGAACATTTCTGACTTGTTAATACTTGACGCTTTCATCAGCCATGTGCATTCTTTAGATTGACATACAAGAGTATAGTTGCGAATTCAATTTATATTGTTTTGTTAGTTCTGCCTTGCATTTGCAAACATAACTCAATACACTTAAAATGAAACAAATTTAACAACAATTTACCTTATAGAGTTTGACCTCTCCACCAAGAATTTAAACCTTTTTTCGATTGAATACTTTTCCATCACATCCTTCAATGTCGACTTATCCATGTATATATGATCCATCATTATCTCCTTTTGCGATCTGTTAGTAATTATTAAATCATTTCCACCATCAAATGCATCTACTGGTTGATCGCCAAACGTTGGGACAATTGGTAATGTATCATTCGTACCAATTAATTCTTGATTGTATTCAAGTTGCAACACATCACCTTCAATAGAAGTTTCTCCAGAATCAGAATATACTATATCAATATCGAAAATACTTACACATAAGGGATATACTCCAAATTGAGTGTTGATCTTTTTCAACTGAACATATACGCGCACACCCATGTCGTTACGTATTTTCATAGGCATGTCGTTACCTTCGACAGTGTATTTGATTTTCATACACTTTTTTGTAAGATCGACGTTCAATTGTACCGAAATCAAATCAACTAAATCAGAATACGAAGCATATTCCTTCAACACTATCCCGTCAATGCTATATTCTACATAGCAATTCTCTTCGCTCCGTTTTCCGGAATGCCGAATCAAAACTGTGATAGTAGCCATGGAATTGTATTTTTGCTTTTGGTGTGAAATGAAAAAGAATGAAGGAACATATTTTCTATTTTAAACTGATCAGAATCCTATAAGGTATAGGTCAGTTACATTTTTTAAAGTGCCAAATTAGTGGGTTTAAGGGCTGAAAATAGCCTTGTTGGTTACATTAACTGACCTCATTTAGTGGGAATTAATTTTGAATGTATTTTTGTATTAAAAAAAAACGAAATGTTTATGGAATTTAGCTATTTTTTAACTCAAACTATAGCTATTTTTTTTTAAATATGATACTTATAGCTATTTCAATCAAATAACCCTAAAACTATTGTCATTTATGTAAGTTTCACAAAAAAATATATAGTCAGAAATATTCCAGAAGAGAATAATAAATATCTCTCTGTGACGAGAGGGAGTTGCTCGGATGGTAAGCACCCCTCACTTCCAACCTGAAGGTTGCGAGTTCGAGTCACCAAGGAAGCAAACGGGGTGGAAGCTCCTAGGGAGGGTAAAAAAAAAATTTTAAAAAAAAGAAATAAAAAATATTTCTCTGTAGATCCTTCTATCACCTCCTATAAATAGAGGTGAATCATTTGAGTCGTAAGTAACTAAGTGAAAAGAAAGAGAAAGAAAGCAAGACAACAAACAACAAGTGAGTGAAATCAGAGAGAGTTGCTAGAGTGTAAGAGCAAAAATGTTGTGTGAAAATTATAAGATCAAAATGAGTTCTTACTTTGCAATATTCAACATGTTAACAAGTCAAATGTCTGGTGAAAAAATTCGTAAATATAAATTAGCTCATCGAGAGCTTTCCAATTTGTACTAGCACTATATGGCAAGATCCATTTGTTGCTTAGTTAAAGATAAAAAAAAGTGAGTACACTACACCTTATCTCACAATCATAAAATAGAAAAGAAATATCCCCATTGAGCTGTAAATGTGCATCTAATGTCTGTAGTAGTATTAATTAAGTGAAACAATTTGATTTTCTTGTTTTGTAATGTAAAGTGTATTATTTAGTGGAGTATGAATGTAAAGGGGTATATTTCTTATTCAGAAATTACTCATTAGTCAATGATACTATAATAGTATCATTGACTAATGAGTAATTTCTGAACAAGAAACTTTAATGATACCAATACATACTGATTTAGTATCAGTTAAGCGAAATTATCAGTCTTAATGATATCAATATAGTATATGATACTTATTTAGTATCAGTTAAACGAATATTATAAACCTTAACAAATGGGGGTATGGGATGTAATTATTTTTTTTTGAGAGAATGGTATTTCTTGAATTATATTGGATTGGGGTATGAGCATGTAATTATTTTGAGTTTTATGGACCATTTATGTAGCTTTTCCTATTACTTAAATCTATTCTTGTAATTTTTTCAGATGCAAAGTTATTAATATATTTTGTAAAAAAATAATTTGAGACGTTTCTTTCTTTTTATATGAAAATATTTACTTTTTTTTTTATAAATAGTATTTTGATTTTAATCTGTTTGTTTGATTTTTGACTAAACACTAAATTTGGAGTTCAATAAGAAAAAAAAACGACTTTTTAATCTTGTAGTCTTAACTCTCAAGTGTATTAAGTATCTTTAGTGATTTTTGTAACACCAAAAGATTGTCACCATAGCAAAAGGTATAGTGACCAAAAGTCACTCGTCTGTAAGGAGAGTAGCCCCACCTACTCTACTTCCAGCATCGCCATTTTGGCGTACAGATTTCTCATCTTTGAGCTGTGTTTAGTGCATCTTTAAATTTATGATAGTTCAAAATTTGTGAATCCTATTCCATTGAGCTACTTGCTATATCATTGATTTGGAGTTTAATATGGAACTAAATGAGAGATTAGAATCCTTGTTAGGATGATTAATAGTTTGATTAACCACTAAGTAGTGTAAACTGGCTGCATTGTGCGATCACGTGTCAACAAAACCATTGGCAACTCACTTATTTAAAGATAAAAAGTGAGTGCACTACAACTTATAAAATAGAAAAGAAATACCCCATTGAGCATCTTTGATTAAAGTAGTATTAATTAATTAAGTGAAACAATTTGATTTTCTTGTTTAGTAATGTAAAGTGTAGTGGATTGTGTTCTCATCTCTTTTAATTAAACAAATGATAAAGGTAACTACACTTTATCATTTGTCACCCATTCAGAAAAAGGTAAATCATTTGGACAAAACCACTTAGCCTAATAATAACAAAGCAGAGACATTAAATCTTCAAGGTTCTTTCATTTAGTTATTCCAGCAAACAAAGAGAAATGGCTTATGCTGCTCTCTCTTCACTTATGTATACATTGGAACAACTCTTGAAACCTAATCAATCTTTGGTTTGTCGATGCTGTACACAACAACATCTTGAATCTCTCAATCAAAATCTTTCTACTCTACAAGATTTCCTTGAAGATACTACTAAGGATATTGAAACTCTTAAGGTATGTAATTCACTAGTATAATTATCTAAATCTTACTGATCATATATATTTTTTTTATTAATAATTAATTTATCGAGTTTCAATTTCAAGGTTGTAGAAAAAAGGATCAGAAATGTAGTATACAAAGTGGAAGATAGAGTTGATTCAAGACTAAGAAACATCCTTCGAGCAGATCGTGAGGACAAGCGGCAAAAGGCTTGTACATCCTTTTATGAAGAATTGTTGAAAGTGGAACAACAAGTTTATTTTCTCAACAAACAGGTGACCGCGATAGAGTTTAACAAGCATGGAAGCAAATCTGCAGAATTAGCAAGAACTTCCTCCTCACCTGAAAAAAGTACAATTGAGGAAAATAGTATTGTTGGGATGGAGGATGACTTCAACACCATACTTGATCGCCTCACTGCCCAAATAGACGAGTTAATTGTCATACCAATTTTTGGTATGGGCGGTATAGGTAAGACAACTCTTGCTAGAAAAGCTTATGATGATTCATCTATTCGTTCTCGATTTGATAAACATGCATGGGTCACTATCTCTGAAGAATACAATGCGAGAGAAATGTTGCTTGAAGTCGTCTCTTCAATTACTGGAAGCAATCAAGAAATGAGCAATGATCAACTAATGGAGATTGTGTATAAAGGTCTGAAGGGTAGGAGATTTCTAATTGTCATAGATGATATTTGGAGTACTGAGGCTTGGGAGCAAATGCAAAGAATATTTCCAAATGATGACAATAAAAGCCGAATTCTATTAACCACACGGCTCAAGAATGTTGCTGATTATGTCAGCTGTCCTGATTTTCCACCTCATAGTAAGTCTTTTCTAAGTCGAGATGATAGTTGGAATCTATTCACTGAAAAATTGTTCAAAAAAGATTTGTGTCCTCCTCTACTTGTAGAAATAGGGAAGCATATTGTACAACAATGTCAAGGGTTACCTCTCTCGGTTATTGTCGTTGCGGGACTTCTTGGAAAAATGGACCCAACGTATGATAATTGGAAGAAAGTTGAGGAAAATCTGAATTCATTCTTTGGTACAGTATCCGAAAGGTGCCAGTCAATTCTTTCTTTGAGTTACAGTTACTTGCCCCAATATTTGAGGGCTTGTTTTCTCTATGTTGGAGGTTTTCCTGAAGATAAAGAGATTAATGTTTCCAAGTTGATTAGGCTATGGATTGCTGAGCAATTTGTAAGAGCAAGAAGCAATATAAGGTTAGAAGTGGTGGCAGAGGAATATCTACAAGAGTTAATTGATAGAAGTCTAATTTTGACTGGTAAACAAAGGGCTAACGGAAGGATGAGAACTTGCAAAATTCACGATCTTCTTCGGCAACTATGCCTAAGTGAAGCTCGTACTGAAAATATTGTAGATGTCATGAATGGGAATGCCCTCGTGTCCTTAGAAGCCATAGATGATCAACGGCGAGTGATTGTTCTGTCTAAACTTGAAGAGAAGCATGTTTATCGTACAAGTATAACCCGCACCTTTATTTCAAGGCAATCATCTGTATTAGATTTTCCAAAGGAGATTTGTTCCAGTGTTTCACAGTTCAAGTTGCTTAAGTTGTTGGATGTATTATCAGTCCAGGAAGATTTCTCTCGTGTAATACCTGAGCTTGTACATTTGAGATATGTTGCTGCAAGAATTATGGAAGGTTTTTCACTAGCAAAATTGAGAAATCTACAGACCATAATTCTTCAAATTACTCATGTGAAAGAGTTGGAGGATCCACTAGATATCTGGACAATGTCAGAGATTAGATACCTGGATATTAGATTGCCACTATATATATCAAAGCCTCTTGAAGCAGAACAACCTTTGTTTCTCAATAACTTGCACACACTTTTTTCTCTATTACTCTCCTTTTGTTGCGGAAATCATAAGAAGAGCCCCCAATCTAAAAAAGCTACAGATTTCAGATAGATCTGAGCATCCTGACTGGCCTCCTATTATGGATTCTCTCAGTCTTCTAGAGGAGCTGAAGACACTACATATAGCAACAGAACAAACCATTACTGGCCGGATGATTTTCTCCGGATGTAATCTCCCGCCTAATCTCAAGCAACTGAAGTTATCAGGTACTTCTATACCATGGGAAGATGTGAATTTGCTGGCTAATTTACCCAATCTTGAGGTGCTCAAAGGTCTCATGCATTCACTGGAACAGTTTGGAAACTAAATGAAGATGTTGTGTTTAGCAAATTAAAATATCTACGACTGTATGCCTGTGGAGATCTGCAAAGGTGGGAAGCTGGTAGTGATAATTTCCCGATGCTTGAGCAACTATTACTGAGTGATTTGGATGAACTGGAGAAGATTCCGGAGAGTATTGGGGAAATAATGACACTAAAATTGATCCAAATAGATGATTGCAGCTCTTTTGTAGAGACTAGTGCGACACAAATTCAAGAAGAGCAAGAAAGCGTAGGAAATTATGAGCTTCAAGTTCGAATTAATAGGTATGTTTAAATTCCATCTTTGATTATTAGACAATTCTTAATTAACATGTTCTTGTGGTCTTTCTATTTTCTTTCATTTTTGTTGTCACCTGCTAAAAAGGCTATGTGTAGATTAGTGTAACCTTGTTGAATACACCAAATTTAGCTGCAATAGCCTTAGATTGGCAGGGAAAGCATCGCGAAGAATTCTATTAGAGAGTATAATTAACTATACCAAGAGACTCTCTCGGAACAGAATATAAGTATAAATATTATGATTTTTTTTCTTTTCAACTTGCGATGGCCATAATTCTTCTATGTCCTTGCAGGACAAAGCTCGAGCGTCCTCTTCAGGTAGACACTCATTACTTGACAAAACTTTCTCTCCCGCACTATCCTTTTGTTGCCGAAATGATGAGAAGAACTTCCAATCTAAAAGAGCTAAAGATTTTACATAAATCTAAGCATCCTGACTGGCCTGATATTCTCGATTCTCTCCGTCTTTTAGAGAAACTGGAGACACTAGACCTAGGAGCAGAACAAACCATCAATGACCAGATCATGATTTTCTCGGGGGATATTTTTCCTCCTAGTCTCAAGGAATTGAAATTAACACGTACTTTTATACCATGGGAAGCTATGAATTTGCTGGCTAATTTACCCAATCTTGAGGCGTTTATGGGGGTTGATGCATTCGATGGAACAGACTGGACACTAAATGAAGATATAGTATTTCCGAAATTAAAATATCTACGAATTTTGTTCGGATGTCTGGCAAGGTGGGAAGCAAGTAGTAATAATTTTCCGATGCTTGAGCAACTATTACTGGATGGGTTGTATGAACTGGAGCAGATTCCTGAGAGCATTGGAGATATAATGACACTAAAATTGATCAAAATAGACCATTGTGGCTCTGGTGTGGAGACTAGTGCAAAGAAAATTCAACAAGAGCAACAAAGCCGGGGAAATTATGAGCTTCAAGTTCAAATTATTAGGTATGTTAAAAGTTCCATCTTTGATATTAATCCAATTCTTATTAATATGTTTGTGTGGTCTTTTTTGTTTTTGTTTTCACCTGCTAAAAGTCTTGTAAACTTGGAACTATGATAAATATCAAAGAACGATAAATATAATTGTAAACAAAATATTGTGGTTAATATAGATTTTTTTTTTTATATGGTTTTTATGCAGTAACAGGAGTGTGTAGAAGGGTTTCAAGCTCAAGTTGGAAAATCTGCTGGTGTTAATACTGAGTAAATGAGATTGCATTTTGAATCTTTCATCCTAAAAGGTGTTCCGGAGAGTTTATGGCTGCATTGTTTTTCTTCTTCGTAATCAGATTTGTATTGGAGCTTGTAATAGTTATATTCCCATAATGTTTAAACATTTTGGATACTTGATTTGCTTGAGTCTATTACCTTTAGGGAAGTTGAACAAGGACTGAATTGTATAGCTATGTATTACTAATGAGTTGATGGCCAAAAACACATCTAAACTATCTCACTTTAATGAGTTTCATACCTGAACTATTGAAAGTTTAAGTTTCCTTTCTACAAGGTCTTTACGTACTTTTTCGCTTCAACTACCTATTGCTTTGCTTTATGCTTTATGCACGAGTTGAAGTGTTTAGTTGTCAATTGAAACCAAGTTGACTTGTGTAGATGTGCACTCTAAAAGTTGATTGAAGTGTTTCCTTGCTAGCTGAGACCAAGTTTGAGTTTTGTTTGTGTATTATGTCAATATAACATTGCTTCAAACTTCATATTAAGTCAGTTTGTCTGGTAAATGTTTTTCTTGTACGATTACTGTTATTCTTATTCTGATAATTTAATGTATTTTCTGGAATAGACCCATGGTTAAGTGCAGTAAGAAGCCCCAAAAGTATATCAGGTACTTGGCTGAAGATCTTGAACGTATGCTTGGTGAATTTTTCGAGGGTAAGACATTGAATAAGCCAAAACGAGGAACCTTAGACTAAAAAAGTTAGCTACATTCTGCACTATTTCTGTGCTGATACGCGACATAGTTGTTATCTAACTGAGTTCTTTCGCCAACGTTGATGGCTTTGTTTACTACTATATATGGTATTTGTGAATCAGTTCCATTGAGTTACTTGTTATATATACTTCATTTAAGGGTGTAAATTGTAATGAAAATGTATCATATACTAACTTTCAAAATTCAGATTAATTATCATTTTAAACTGCTGGGGAACTAAATGAGAGATTAGAATCCTATTCTTAATCCTTCTTAGGCTGATTAATAGTTTGATTAACCATTAAGTAGTGTGCTCATTTGACAACAAACTCATTGGCAATTGCTAAATTAAAGATAACCATTAAGTAGTGTGCTCATTTGACAACAAACTCATTGGCAATTGCTAAATTAAAGATAATGTTAAAAGTTTAGCGCACTACATTTTGTCTCACAATTATATTATAAAATAGAAAAGAAATACCCCATTGAGCATCTCATATCTATAGTACTATTAATTACTTAAGTGAAACAATTTGATTTTCTTGTTTTGTAATGTAAAGTGTATTGGATTATGTTCTCATTCATAGTCTCTTTTAATTAAACAAATGATAAAGGTAACTGCAATATGCCTTTAGAAAAAGAAAGATAATGAAAAAGTAGACCATTTGAAAAAAAAAACACTTAGCCTGATAAATAACAAAGCAGAGAGATTAAATCTACAAGGTTCTATCTTTTAGTTATTCCAGCAAACAAAGAGAAATGGCTTATGCTGCTCTTTCTTCCCTTATCTATACATTGAACCAACTCTTGAAACCTAATCAATCTTTGGTTTGTCAATGTTGTACACAACAACATCTCGAATCTCTCTGTCAAAATCTTTCTGCTCTGCAAGATTTCCTTGACAATACTACCACAAAGGATATAGGAACTCTTAAGGTATCTAATTCACCAGTATAATATCTAAATCTTACTGATGTTATATATTCTTTTTAATAGTATTAATTTATTGAGTTTCAATTTCAAGGTTATAGAAATGAGGATCAGAAATGTAGTATACAAAGCAGAAGATAAAGTTGATTCAAGTCTAAGAAGCATCATTCTAGCAGATCACGAGAACAAACGGCAAAAGGCTTGTAGATCCTTTTATGAAGAATTGTTGAAAGTGGAACAACAAGTTTATTTTCTCAACAAAGAGGTGATGTTGGTCGAGTTTAACAAGCATGGAATCAAATCTGCAGAATCAGCAACAAATCCTTCCTCACTCGAAAAAAGTAAGATTGAGGAAAATAGTATTGTTGGGATGGAGGATGACTTCAACATCATATTTGATCGCGTCACTTCCCAAACAGACGAGTTAACTGTCATACCAATTTTTGGTATGGGCGGTATAGGTAAGACAACTCTTGCCAGAAAGGTTTTTGGAGATTCATATATTCGTTCTCGATTTGATGAACATGTATGGGTCACTATCTCTGAAGAATACAATGAGAGACAAATGCTTCTTGAAGTTGTCTCTTCAATTACCAGAAGCAAGCAAGAAACCAGCGATGATCAACTAATGGAGATTGTCAAAGGCGAATCTAGGATTTTTCGAACATGGGTGCACCAAGTAAAATGTATTGAAGTGAGAATTGATCCTTAATCCTCCAGGTCAAAAGCTCAACATTTAACCATGTGGACCGTTTAGACTTTTTATAGTACGGGTGCAAGAATATAATATTATACAAAATCTTAAAAAATATACATATAAAATATCTAATTTTACGAAGAAAGTACGGGTGCGATTGCCCTTTTTTTTGGCTCTAAATTCGCCACTGGAGATTGTGTATAAAGGTCTGAAGGGTAGGAGATTTCTAATTGTCATAGATGATATTTGGAGTACAAAAGCTTGGGATCAAATTCAAAGAATATTTCCAAATGATGACTGTCACGCCCCGAGCCTACACCCTAGGCGGGACCGACACCTGGAGACCATTGCTGGCCCCAGGCGAACCCTTGGCCTGACTTTCTTAACTCAGCGGAAACCTAACTCAACAGAATAACTCAACGTCATGCAAAGACATAAACAACTTAACTAATAAAAATATGGCCCAGAGGGCAACTCGAGTCTCAAAATAGAACATTTACACATATATACATATACATGGATGAGAGACTCAAAACTAACTGACTGACTGACTGTCTATTGAAGCCTCTAATATACTGAGATGGATGTGGGGACAGACCCCGCACATCCTAAAAGAACAAAACTAAATACACAAAATAATTGAGTCCTCCGGAATGCAATGAGGCTCACCACTGACTCTGGAGTGCTCAGCTGGATCAACGACGTACAGGATGCTGATTCGGGGTACCTGTATCTGCATCATAAGACGATGCAGGCCAACTGGCATCAGTACATGGAATGTACGAATATGTGAGCTGGAAAAGCTGAACCACAACTTAAGCTTGAAAGGAGAGCAAGAGATCACTTACCTTGACTCTGAACGACTCATATACGTAACTGGACTCAAAGTAAAGCAATGAGACACGAGCCATACATATAAAGCTTGTAAAAGAGTGTAAACAACTTAGATCGTTAAGGATAAAATGATAACAAACCCAACTTTTCTTTTATAAACATAATACAGCTTTTGTGGGAGGTTCTTTAACCGACAACCACCACTACGAGCCTTAGTGATGATACAACGTTTTACCTCACGTTGCCAAAGGACCATCCTATACCTTGCCATAGATATAGGACCTTACTTTTGCTTAGTGGATCCACTAGCCTAATCTTACGTGATCATCTAAAAAGAATGATACGTCAAGTCCCATGTTGGCGCATGGTTCTTATGGAGAGTCGAGTTAATATGAACTCGTGTCCCCAATTCGGTGCTCAATACTACTCCCAAAAATACTTTGGCTCATGCTTTTAAAATAACTTCTTTCTTTGATTGAGACGATTACTCAAAACTTAGCCCAAAGGCTCTTTTGGAAAACATGGCTCCTTTCTTACTTAAATGTAAAAACATTTAGAACTTCTTTGGGAAGTACATAGTTCCCTAATAACTTTGGAGAAATGGACTCGACTCTTTACTCCTTACTTTACTTAAACTCTTTAATTTTGACTTGACTTGAAACTCTTAACTCAACTTGAGACTTGATACTCTTAACTCAACTTGAGACTTGAAACGACGTTAAGACGTTCAATAACGACTCTTGAAAAGCTTTAAGGACTTGCTTTGACTTGCTTAACTTCTAAGCTTGGCTCTAACTCCACTTGACATTCTAACTTCACTTGACTTGATCCTAACTTTCTTGAATTGAATTATGGATTCAAGGACTTGATTTGGTACCTGGAAGGACCTCATGATGTTAAGGAATGATTTAGGAATGATTTGGGACAGCCAACCTTAAGAAAATAATTGATCATAAATTCTGAAAACAGTGGAGTCCGCGTCCTGTCCGCGACGCGGAGAAGATTTTGTTCACAGAGGGAACAAGTCCGCGACGCGGACGTGCTCCTCGCAAGCTGCCCGACTTTCTCCTTCACGTCTCCAACTCTAAATCCTCTAACCTCCAGGGTTCCAGCCCCAATCACTTAGAAACATAATATCCCTCAACATTCAATAGAATACAACTCAAAACCCCAACCGGAAACAAGTCCCAATCATCAGAATCTCAACATTTCAATCAACAACAATACCAACAAATTTCAACAACAACAACAAAACAACAACCAACACAACAACCACAACTTTAACAACAAAGCCAATCCTTTCTTAATGAATAAAAGGGGTTAGGTGTGTGGGGGAAAGGATCACCCACCACTAAAAGCTCACATACCTTGATAGGGATCACCCCCGACGAAAATCCACGATGATCTCCTCGATTTTCCTCTCCTTCTTCTCCTCTTCTTCTCTTCTTCCTCTCTTCTTCACTCTCAAGCCCTAGCCTTCACTCTCTTAGAATGGAACAAAATGATCCAAAATCAGCCCTATACAACAATATAATCCCAAAAGAATTGGCTAGGGAAAAGACTAAAATGCCCTTAATGATTCCCGGACGGATTTCCTTGTCAACGGCCCAACTTTCAAAGGCCATACTCGCTCCTACGAACTCGGAATTGAGCAAACTCGGCGGCGTTGGAAAGATCGTTCCGAGGGCTATGCAACCATAACTGGAATACCTAACTCATCATGAGCTAGAAGTTATGTCTGATCAAAGTTGGCCAAAAATTCACCTTTTCCATACTTAGCCAAAAATTTCCAAACTTTAAATCCTTTCCAAAAAATGAAAATTTCCAATCTAAGCCTCTTCAATTATTTCATATTGCCGGATGTTACATTTACCCCCATTATCTTGTTCAATTATTTTATTAGTGTTATTTTGCTAATTGGTTTTTTCTTTTGTAGGTTCAACAAAGGAGAATAGATGGTAAATATTTTTTAGAAATATGAAGGTAATATTTTGTTCTTCTGTGTTTGATGATTCACATCAAAATTCAAAGATTATTCTATTATTTTTATTATATTAATCTATAGTCATTTTGTATTTTGGAAGTTGTTAAATTTAACGCATTAATGTCTTATAAAGTTCATATTCTCACCACATCATTAAGTCTGTCATATTTTATCTTTAATTTATTTTGGGTAAGCCTTAATTTTTTTTTATCAAGACGTATAAAGATATGTGTTTTATAGATAAATGTTTATTTAATTATGTATGAGATTTTCATGGTTTTCATTGTTTCAGCCTGATGCGGAGATTGAACTTGCTTCACCCTTGAATACAAGATTGGATGACAATAACTCAAATTACCAAACAAATGCTATATAGTTTTTTTTATGTTTATTTTGTGTGGATTTTTAAGGATTTTATATTGTAATGTTCGATTTGTTTTACACAAGTATGTATTACTTTAATTTGATTTTAATTTAAACTTGTGGAGCTTATTAATATGAGTTTGTTTAATGAAATTTGATTTGTATTCAATGTGTTATTTAGTAAAATTATTTATTCATATTATTTTGAAGGTTTGATGTAATCCATATTTATTATTAAGATGATAATAATTTTGTAAGACTCCCAAAAATTTAACTATGTAAAATATTGATTTTATATCACAATATATAAATTTACATAAATTTAATTTTTAAAAGATTCAGATCAAATTGTGAACGGTTCTAAACCATCACAAATTAAAACTAAAAAACCTCCACAAATTAAATAATCATTTTGTGGAGGACGTCGTGGAGGTTTGTTAAAAGCGCCACAAATATGCTCGTGGCAACGGTAATTGTAGCGTTTTTAAAAACCGTCACAATTTAATTTGTGGAGTCCCTAAACTGCCATAAATAGACAAATTAACCCCCATAAATTGAGTGTTTTCTTGTAGTATAACTCGGAACATGATATATTACCTTAATAAATGAAAGAGTGAATTTCAACAAAAAAACTTTTTGAAAGTACAACAAAATTTCCCATAAGGAACTAATCTAAACATGTACAAGAACTACTAAGAAGACATAAGACATAAAAGTAAATACGATACAACTCCCATCATGAAAAAAGAGGAGTAAAAGTTGTCGTTGATCATCATCGTCTTCACCTATGAAACATCGTTAAATCCTGCAATCAGACTACGTCAACTGACATAGCAAAAAGTAGTATCAGTACAAACAACACATACTGATAGACATCATTGGTCAACCTTAACCCACCACATTAACATGCAAAATATCTAAGGAAACATGGATCTTGAACATAAAATTAAGGCCCCGATCCACTCATTCACCACCCCCGCTAAAAGTATCGTTACCTCGAAACTCAATACGCCCTACTCCTTTCGCTACCAACTCCACTCACATCAGATCATAACCTAACCCTTCTACTACATAATATTTCCCCGAACACCGACAACCAAAGTTTCCATGCCTTACCTTACACACTCCAATTATACGACATGTGAACATGTAGTCACAACTTAGAAAGCAGATATAAACAATTCTAACCACCATTATAAAAATAACCTGAACTTTCAGAAATTCTTAATCATCACCTATAGCGTTTAACAATTACATTACAAAGAATAAAACTTGATTCACTCATAGAATCAATATACGATGCAATCAAACATGTACTAGGTGTGGTACACATGCCAATCATATAGTAACTTATACCAAGCGTAGTACCTGAGTCAATGAAATAAATATTATGTATCAGGCATGGTACTCGAGCCAACCAAATAGATATCATGTACCAAACTACGACCGAGAGTTTATCCTTTTAAAACGCTAGTCTCGTAGGGCGATCGGGCTAGGCCGAGTCAGAAAGGATTTGATGACTCAAGGTATGTCAGATGTGGTACCCAAGCCAACCAGGAGATATCATTTACCAGACATGGTTACCGAGTCAACCATTAATATGTACCAAACGTGGTACCCGAGCTAACCGTTAGTATGTACCAGCCGTGGTCTTTGAGCCAACCAACAATTACACATTACAATCACAATCACAATGAATACAATCACACTTGTAAACCCAAGTTAACACATTCATTGCATGAGATCAACAACAAGCTTACATTTCAGTTTTCATTGATTTCATCTCCCTAACCATGCACCATACAAGCAATACTAACGAAGCAGTTAGTAAGCACATATAACATAAATGAGAAATAAAATAACCATCAGCTAGTCTAGATAATTCTTCTCAGACGGTTTCCAGTTCATAATGTTAACACCCATAGAATAACACTAAAAAATACTCATAAGATCAACATTAGCTAAACAAGTCCATTACCATCCTAAACAACTATAATCAATGCATTCATCTGCCCAGACTCCATGCCCGGTAGCCTATGTATGCAGCCTCCCAATAATTTATAATGTATTATCCAATTAAAGACATGACTAACTACTCGGTTAAGTCTAGCT